AATAAAAAGAGTGATTTTATTTTACAAAAGTCATTCTTTCATCGGTTCCATCATTGAGCTTCTATCAAAGTAAGAAAGTAACAGGAATCTTTCCATTACCTTAGAGGGTACAGTTAACTACTAAGTAACAAAATAGTCAAGTATAATAAAAATGTATATCATTACTCATACCTAGAGCCCCGTGAACACAAGTTCAAAATTAACAGTGTTAAAAGGACACTTAATAAGGGATTGATTTGATCGACTACATTTTTATATTTAATTTTCGGTAACGACGTTTCTATATACGAGTACATACATAAAAATTGTATGATTTTTTAAACTTAATATTTTATTTTTCAATGCTTTAAAGTCGTTTGACATATTGAGATTCTGAATCTTATCTATCCTATGAAGCATATTTTAATTAAATACCTTATCGAAAATAATGTTGAAAGGGTATAGATTGGCTTTTCTTTTTAGTTCATAATATAATAATAATCTGCTTTTATTACTTTTTGTCTTTATATGTTCTGCAAAATTTGTTTCTATATGTAAATATTTACTTGCCGCCGGCAGTTCGAAAATTACGCAATCTTAAAAGTTTTAAAATGAAATTGTTTTACAATATCTATTATATCAAAATAACAAACGTTTTATAATAGCAGAAAAAAAGTAACTAAAAAAAGTTGCCTCTTTCTTTTGCGAAGTAGAATAGCCAAATATTTCAACAACAAAATGGTCATCTAGCATTAACCAGTATTTTTAACCCGTTTTTTACCATCGATCTAAGACAAAAACGGTATTTTTCTAAACTCAATGATTTAGCTTAAAAATTCGTCCATTTTATCAACGATTCGTTTGATTTGCTTTTTTAATTCTGCAATTTCTTGTGAGGATTGCATAATTTTGGGGCGCAACAAAATTTTTTTATGCGTACATAGCTAAGTAGTATATTCTACATTACCTAGAGTGAATTTAAATCGAATATTGTTGTTCAAAAAATTTAATTTTCCCAGACTTAAGGAAAATGTACTAATTTACAAACCAATGCTTTGATCTCAATTTAAAAATATTATCATTTCTCCTTTTCTTTTAATTTTCTCTATCGCTGTCCAGTGTACCAATTTTCTTTGTAACAGTAAAGCTTATTACAACTTAAAATAAATATAAAAATTGTGTGGAAAATGCAACGAAAACTAAGTAAGATCAGTAACCCACAAAAAAATATTTTTTAAGAATTGAAAGAAATGGAAAGATGGGCGGCTTTTTAAAGTATCAGAATGTTGTTATCGAAAAAACGGATCCAAAAAAAAAAGTGGAGTAAGTAATAAATAAAAGAGTATTTTTAAACCTCAAAAAAAAAGAGAAAAAAAATAAACTTAAGATTAATGGACTTGGATGAATTTTTTATTTTATTTTTGTCTTTTGTCTTGATCCTTAAAAAAGCAAATAGCACAGAAATATTCAACATAATATTGTTTTATAAAGGCAAATGGGTATACGAAGAACATAAGTTCTTTTTTTTATTTTATTTTTAAATATGAAAGTTTTCGCTACCCAGCTTATGTTCAAAAGATGGTATGTAGTTAAATGAGGTTTGCTTTATGTACACTTACTTTACACCACACATACAATGAGTTTGTGTGTTTAAAAAAATTAAAACTGTCTCGGCTTTCATAAAATTCAATAGGTTTTTAAAACAATGTAAAAAGCTTAAAGTAAACTATTATGTTATGCATGTGCATATACAAATAAAAACAAAAAAACCCATGAAATTTGAAAAAAAAAACACACACAATATTGATATTGAAATCTTGACGGGTACAACAACACATTGTATCCCAAACATTCTTTCTATTGTACGAAATAGTTCCTTTTTCATCTACTATGTTTTGATTCAGGAAACTGAATATAGCAAGAGAAGTTATTAAAAGGATTATGCTTTCAAATAAATATTATGCTTATATTAAGTATGTGTATTACTTTGTACAGAAATTAAAAAAAAGAATAGAATCTATACCTTCAAATAGAATTTAGTTAATTTAGTTTTCAAATAATTTTAAAAATAGAAAAGCAAGAGAATGAATATGCATGTTTATATGAGTGTGCATAGCATTTTTTGAAAAATATTCACAAAATATGTACTATTGTTTCATTTATAATGAATATTTTAAATATGGTTGTATGTAGGTATAAATTTTTAAATATACTCATACTATATTACTATTATGTCATTGTTAAACAGTACAACTAGGCTAAAAGAAACTCAATTATCCGAATACTACAGACAATTTTTTAATTGACAATTTTTTACTAGTTCAGGTATGGTCATAAGTCCTTTGGATACCACCTAAAACGAGCTAAATCTAAATTGATTAATTAATTTGAAAGATTAATTCTTAAAAGAGATTAATTGTTACTAACAATCACTTAAAGCGGTTTTTGCAGTAATTGTAATATAAATTTTGCAGTATTTTGTAGCAATATTGTAATATCTCCCATTAGAAATAAATATTACAAGATAATTTGACATAAGCCGGCTTATATATTATGTGTGTACATATGTGCGATATTATTCATATATTGGGCTGTTTTTTATTATAAACAGAAATGAAGGTGGCCCTTGCCAATATCGCTAAAGCGAATTAAGTTTTTGAATTCGAAAATCAATTTTTCGCTTTACGCTTGACGAATTCAAATTAATTTTTTTTAAATTTTGTCAAAAAATTCTATTTAACAATCAGGATGAACAAAAACAAAATATTTTGATTAATCAGAGTATATTTACAGATTACGACAGTGTAATTTTTAATTGGCTGGATCTAGCATTTTGGATCTAGCAAATGAAATCATTCATCTTACACAAAAGGGCTCGTTTGCAAGGGAACGTATTCAACTTATTCATTTATGAAAGAATTAATCTTAAATGCCTAAGGTGTGTTGCAAATTGGTTAGTCAATACGAAGATGTTTCAAAAAGAATTGGCGAAACGTTTAACCAGCTAAATGTTTCTTTGTTGAAAATTCATCAATAAGAGAATCATTCAACCGCACTATTTTGAATAAGCAACATTTTTCGTAAAATGAGTTCGTTTATGTATCAGCTAAATTATTTCATTATTACCACATCGTGCTTTTAAATGATTATCTGATATACATACTTTTATAGCTACATATATTCTGATCCCAACATATAAGATTATTGCTCAATCGCGGCACTAGAATTACTATAGAATTTTTTAAAAAGTTTTGCTTGCATTTCTTGTTACTATTTAATTGTTCATTCTAACTGAATTCTACTGTTATTTTATAATGGTTAGAATTTGTATTACGTAAACCTATGGTTCCCTGTCATAATATTATACTATTAGTTTAAATAGAAATTGGGTTTGTTGATTTCGAAACTAAATAAAATTTCTTTTTAAATATAGTAAACAATGTGGGTCAACTGGTGCCATTTCTATATCAAACTTAATGAAGAAAAGAAACTAGAGAAAAAAGAAACCAGGAACATAAAATCTGGGACAATATTAAAAACATTTCTCTTATGTTTCAAAAAAAAAAAAAAAATTTTTGTTGTTTTGATATTAGGGTGTGATTCTATTGTTTCTATTCTATAAAAATTGTTTTGATTTTTATTTTTTAAATTTCGAAAACATGAAAATACAATTTCGGGTTTTTTGTTTTCAAAATATTCAAGGCATAAAATACATTTTCTAAAATGATTTTTAAAGCCAAACCACGGGTCTAAACATTTTATTTATACAAAGATTTAGATTCAAAGATAATCTTCATATTGTTTTATAAAAATTTAATCAAAATTTTATAAAATACCCTAATCTCAAATGCTCTTTGGGTTTTTTTTTCTCTTCTTCTTAAAAATCCTGGTAGCTATACATCCTATAAATGTTATCGTTGTGGTTTATTTTTGTTGTTTTTGGTTTTTAGTTATAAATTTATAATAAAAATAATATAAAAGAAGGATCAAATACGGATAATTGAATTTAGAAGTTTTATACCTCTTGTCTTTTTATAAAATGGTAAATTTTACCATTCTAATAGGACTTTAGTTAAGGTTATTGTCGTAGACGGGTTTTTGTTGTTTTCTTTTTTTTTTTTTGCTCCTTTTATCTCACTAGAAGATCATTTCAAAAGCATAAGTAAAAGTAAGAAAAATATGAGATTAATTCTAAAATTTCAAATGACCAGGTTTATTCTGGAAAATCCTTGAATGTAAAATGATCCTATAATTTTTAATACATAAACAATTATATAGAAAAACAAAATACATAGCCATATATAAATCGTAATAATGTTTAAATAAAACTTAAATTGATTGTATATTATTAAATTAGATAATATATTAGTTAAAATAGCTTCTCATTTAATACATATGATGTAGAATAATTCCGGGCGGTAAGAAGCAAGAGAAAAGTTAGTTTTTGTAATTGTCGCCTTTATTGTTAGATTACAGGCACAAAGAACCAAAGCATTAAGCATTGAAATTGTATATTTTTAAAACTTTCTCAATATGATTTGAAAAAACTAGTTATTAGTTTCACTTTGCCCGTTTGTCAATTAATTGTCTGACCAAATCAAGAAAAAAGCTAGAACATTGTACAAACAATATTAGTTCTTAAAAAAGCTGTGATAAAACAAATTAATTTTACTCTTATTATACTTAGTAATAGCATTATTTGAAAAATTTTTTGCTCTTTAGCTCTATTAACACATTTTCAATTACCGATTAAAGCACATATGCATTTATGTACACAATATGTGTTTGTTTTACATATTAAAATCTTTGTTTGGCAATTAAATGGCTTAATCACCCAAAACAATTATAATGAATGATAAATACGATATTAAATTGTTAAGAAAGTAAGTTGTTAATGGTATTCTATCCCTAAAAAAGCTGGAACTATTGAGTATTTCGTTCTTTATCGTAATTTATTTCCGAAGTATAGCTTAAAGAGTACAGGAGATGATTATATATATGTAAAGAAAAGTATTACTTACATTGCTCCAACATATATAACATTCGTTGGCTCATCAATATAAAATGTTTTATAATATAATTTCCCACAACCAAAATCTCGTACATGATCTGTAAAGAAATAGAAGAGATTTAATTTAATAAAAGGAATCAAAGTAACTTATTTTATAAAAATCGTATTATTTATAAAGAATAAATTGAATGATTTTAGAACAAATAGTTATTTTTTAAGTAAATTTGGGTTTTCATTTTAATATGAATGTTATGGTAGTGAACACATTCTTCTTTCGAAATGCAGGATTTTGAACAAATTCTGCTAATATTTCTAAAATTCAAATTTATACCAGATATTCGATGTGAACAATATGTTTCAATTGCAGTTAAGTATCAAAATACTAATAACACAAAATGCAAATATGCCACTTATTACATTCTTAGGTGAACAACATCCTCAGTATAATGAAACGGCAAACAATTCAAATTATAACAAATGCACGTAAAGTGTCAAAAATAATCCATTTCATAATTAAAACACATTTTCGAAACTAAAATATTTGCCTAACATATTTTCATTTTGTATATGAAAACTAAAATGCGGCGTATAATATAACAAATTGGTTGCCTTCTTTCCAAGATAATTTATTGCAAAATCATTTTTATGGTATTTTTAACAAGGACTTTAATTTCATTATTTGCAACACTTTACTCCACTTCTGTTCTAAATTTTAGCATTATAATTCTATATTGTAAATAAGACTTTAAATGCTACACCACATACAAAATTTTACTTTCATTTACGTATACGCAAGATAATCAAGTATTCAGTCTGTAGTTCGCACTTTTTCTAATTATTATACAAAATATGAAAATAAATATGTACATAAGTATATTATGTAAGTACAAATTATATATGTATGTACAATATAAACAAATAATATTTCAAAAAATTGTGATTTCTATGAAAAAAAAATTTTTGTTTATTAAATTTATTTTAAGAAAATTTCTTTAAAAAAAATTCTTTTGCAAAGACTCGTTTATGCTGCTTAAAGTCATTAACAGACACACTTTACGAATTTTTTTTTTCAACATTTGTTCATAAACAGATTCAAGTCCTTGACTGAAATATAATTTTCCTTGAATTAAAATATTTAATATTATTTCAGTAATTTACATACACGTACACGTAAAAATGTTTGTATATTATTTTCTGTATATAGTTATGAAAAATACATAAAGGATATAAAATATCAAAAGAGGATATAAAATATTAAAAATTAACTTTCAAATTATTTTCATTTTTTTTTATTTCATTTTAATATTTATTGCGTACACATATTTGCAGTTAATTTCATATTTTATATTCATACATTCTGTGATATTTAATGTAAAATATAATTATTATTAATTTACAAAAATTTTAGATTGATGTCCAACATCGTCATCGTTATTATTACAGCGGAAACGGATATAATAAGGAAATAATCGACATTGAAATCAAAAAATAATCTCGAGCTTCTTTATGTTTGCATATACGTATATAGCTTAATATATAGTTAAAATAAGTCAATACAAGAGTATTATACCATGTTATATACGTATATGTATATAGGTTTATGGTAATCATTATTATATATTAAACAGTACCTATATACATTTTTGTGTATTATTATTATAGGAAATTGAGAATAATTATATTTAAAGTGTATATTCCTGATTTTGACAGCAATTATTATTACTGACATTACTATAATGTATCCTTGTGAATATTTTATGAGAAGGCTAACGGGGGTGGGTTGGAAACCTGATTTTTGTTTTCGTAAAGAATATTATGGATAAATATTGTAATCTAAATAATATGGAAGTACTTTATAGTTTATTTTCCTGGTGATTATAAATTTGTAACGAAGAAAATTTAAATTCTATAATTAATTTTCTTCTTTGAAATTAATATTTATTCAAATTCGTTTACATATAAACAGGTTAAACTAACATATAATATGCTTCATAATGAAAGTCCTTATAAAAGTTCAAAAATTTTAGTTCAACAATTAATTTTATTAAACACTTTATGCTCTTTCCAGTATACTATTGAAATAATGATAACCATTTACCTATTTTGATAACCACATATAGATTCTATTTTAAGGATTTAAGAATTTGTAATAATTAGAACATGAATATCATTTTGCTATTAGTCTTAGTATGTCTTTTGTTGTACATTACAACATTTCATACATAACATTTCATACATTTGTAACATCCGTATCGATTTAATAATATCACGAAAAGGAATAATATAGAAATATTTGCTTATTTGATTTTAGAAAATTCAGAGAATAATTGTACAAGATATAAGAAAAAAGATCTAAAATGGTCAGAATATAACCGACGAAAATTTAGGGAAACACTTACAGAAGGTTATGAAAATGCATTCTAAAACTTCCTTACAATTTTGAGAGCAAAAGTAAACTTTTAGTTAACTTTCCTCGAAATATTTAAATTTGGCTCTTGGTAGAGTTTTCTTTTGTAACATTCGAATTTCCTGAAAACTTCTTCAGTTTGTTTCGCTAACAATCAGAGAAATAAATTTTTTGAAGAAATTGATTAATTATTTTTCTTTATGTGGTAAAAATGTAAAATCAGCCCGAAAAAAGTCCAGTTACCGAAGTCAGACATATTTCAAAAGTTGATCAATCTGTGACATGTCCGAAATAAACTCACATATAAAATTTTGGTTAAGTGGAACTTGGGATTCATGCGTGCACACACAGACTGACAGACAGACAGATGGACAGAGCGACATCTCTGTAAAAATAGTTTAATAGCAAATAATTTACGCTTCCCAACAATGAAGAAGTGAGTTCCCGGCGAAAACTCGACATCCGAATTTGGGAGCCATTGCATAATCTGCCTTATTATATGCAATGTAACAAAGTGTCATTGAAATTTGCACTAAATTGTTAATTAATTCACTAATCCTACGCCAAATTTTAAGACTGCCACTTTGTCGACCATTTGCTGAAATATTTTATTATTTTTAAGACATCCAAAATACACTAAACCTGCATTACCACCAATTTAGAAATTTAGACTCATATAAGCTGAATTGTATTACTGCATTTTGGGCTTCATCTTGTGTATTATCCGTACAAAAAAAATTAATAACAAAAATTAAAAATATTTTGTTTTAACTTTTTTTTGAACTTCGAAATCGTTCTTTTGAACTTTTCGGACTTAAAGATAAAAAAACTTTTTTTTTCCCATTATCTTCGAAACAAAAACTGAACGCATTTCCTGTTGAATATTATTTCAATTACATCAAATTCATACCAATGACATACCAATGAGGCACATTATTAATTTCAATAACATACCAATGAGGCACATTATTAGAACACTACTTTGTAGTTTGTTCCTAAAGGCATAGAAAATATTATAAATTTAAATACCTATGAAGCAAATCAAAACTCAGCATAATGCAAATAATGTATCTACGTCTAATATCAGCTGTTAATATGTTCAAGGCAAATAAGAACTTACTATGTATTATTGATTTAGTTATGTATTCTCATTTACCGCATACGCCAATAAGACTAGTCGCAAAACAAGAAATAAAAAAATTAAAAAAAGGAGCATACGAAAGCAAAAGGAGCATACGAAGCAGAGTTCTCACCGAGTGTCTTGAAAACTAAAGTAGACATGACAATTCGGATAACAGTAAAGGAAGAGCATGCCTCAAAACCTTTATCAAACCTTATACTTGTATTTTAGTGATAACGCAAAAACAAATGGGAACTCAAAATTTTTAAATTAGGATATTAATTCCAAACAGTTCCCTGACGATTTTAAGATGTGTTTTGGTTATAAAAAATTTACGCAAATTTTCAATTATGACTATGGTAATACATAATTGGGACTTAATGTTTTGGTTCGTTTTTTTATCCAGCGAAATATTATATGCACATCCCATCGAAATATCCATAAAAATAAAAACGTTCGCAATTTTTTAAATTAATTTTGAAATTATAAAATAAAATCAGTTTCTTACCATTGAAATCATTATTCATGAAAATTATTCAAAAAAATGTGATCATTTATTCAAAATTAATTTTATGCTTTTAATAGTAAAAATATTTACGAAGAGATGAGTGCATTAAAAATTCTTCATAATAAATTTTCATTGCGTAAAGTTTTTTCTTAATGAAAATCCTTTTTCAAAATATTTTTTATTGTTCAGCCATTGCAAATCTTCTTAAATTATTTTATTTATTGCATACATGCATTAAGTGTATAAAACAAAAAAAACCTAATTTTTTAACGATGAAAATTCTGCATTACTTTAATAGTATTAACGAAACGCCTAGAAATCATGTATAAATGTATGTATGTATGTAAAGTCGGGGCTTAAGGATAGTACAGGCATATTATATTGTTAAGAATCTTTGAACAATAAGTTGCAAGTGCACATACATGTAAAAACCAATGTACTGATAATTCATACATTACATACATACTCGTAGCATATACAATGTATGTAGATTAACACATATTGTGTATACATAAAGTAAAAATCAAATTTTCCCAAAATACTTTGAGTCTCAATTGTAAAACAAGTTTTGATATCACCTTTAAGCTAGATCCGAAAGCTTGATACACAACCTGTAGCATATAGATGGTTTCATATAATGACTTCATTCTTTGTGACGTCATAACCAATGAAGAAACATAAAGTTTTAGTTGAACAAGTTTTGGTCAAAATTTCCTTAAAAGTCAATAAAGATTTCTTCAAAAATAAAAATTTTTATATTTCGAAAACGTAGATTTCTTAAACCAACGATATAATTAGGGTCAACTTAAAATCAAAGTAGAGGTTCGTAAGTTGTCTTCCATATTTCAATAGAACATTTCAACATTCTGCTAAACGATTTCGAAGATTTAATGGGTTGTTTTTTCAAAAATTAATATTTAGTCGGCAAAGTAACTTTTTTTCATTTCTCATGGTAAAGTTTTATAAATTCAGTCAAATTATTTCACAGCGTATCAGAAACGTTTTTTACAATATGGAGCTCTAGAATCTTTTCATAATAGTAGTAAAATGCAATATGAAAGCA